TTTACAAACTCGTGGTTGAACTCATTACAACAGATTTCATCTGATGATCATATCTTACTTTAAATTTTGTCCACAATCGGCTCAAATTCAAGAATAATCTTTCTAGTCACTTAATACTTACTAACGGTGTTGAGTACTTCCTGGTTGACATTCAACTCATGGAGTGTGAAAGCAAGATCAAGAAGAATGAAGCATAACATTGAAATTTAGTCGCAAAAATCTAATCAATTCTCGTTAGCAGTAACTTTTGTGTTAGAAAATGAAATTTGTCCAATTTGGTAATACCCGTGTATCACATCTTTGTATCAAAATCATCAGATTATTGCTTTTAAAACTTCATATTGCCATCTGTGCATGAAGCCGGCAAGAAACAGACATGCAAATCCGTTTGTCGATCATCTTATTCCCAATTCACAACAAAATACTGATGATGTATGACGTAATTGATGGCGTAACTGATGACGCTTCAAGCTCACAAATATTGTTGTTTGAGTTGTGCTCCGTCTGAATCATGGACGCTTAGATTACAATTGATGAAGCAAAATGACCAATTATCTTGATAATGTTGTTCTTGGTATAGTAGTCTCCTGGTTAAGTACGCACTTTGAACCCGGGAGTGTTGTGCGTACTTAACCAGGAGGTGCGTACTCAAGAATATTGACTTCCTAATCGTTTGATTTGAGTGTAATGTCAAAGGAACCTTATATGAACACTTCTAAATGACTCGGCGCTATTTGATATCATAAAGAAACTGAGCAAAATCATGATTCCATTGGAAGAGCTTGAACTTGCAAGTGACTTGATCATGAAGATGAGACAAACGGAACAAATCACAAAGCTAAATCGAGTTGATGTATGATGAAGTTAAAGAGAAGACTTTTTAACCTCACTTTTGTAACATCTATTGATACCGCCAAATCAAAAAATATTGCATTGAGTTTATTGATTTCATATATGGACTCTAGCACAGATTTGTAATTGCCAAGTCGTATTCAATTGCCAAATGAGTTGTAAAAGGTGTTGATTCTAGGAGAGTGATTTGTAATTTTATCATGGACTCTAGCAACATTAACTGTTATAGCCCAATGTAATCTAAAACCTTAAGAAGATGATATAATCTTTTCTTCATTTTGCGATAGCGGCTTGCTTTTTTCTCTACTATGAGAGTTTGTCTCTAATGTTAAACGAGTATATATCAGCCACTAGAGGTTCACGCTTCTAATCAGATATGAGACAACCACTAGGAGGAGTAACAATTTTTGACCATAAATCAAATGAATGACATGTCATGGATTGGACCCTATTTTTGTGAAAAAAATGCATACTTAATCGGGATGCACATCTAAACGGGTGCGTACTTAACTGGGAGACTACTGTATTCTGATCCATTTTCCATAACAAATCACACGCCCATGAACCTTGATCATTAATATGATCACATACTGAATTAAACAAAATACACCTGTCACCGTTGAATAACATATTCAACGATGATAGGTGTATTGATAATCAACATTATTGAATAGGCTGTTTTGTTTTGAACAAATACCAATTTTGTATATATTTGTCACCAATTTGTCCAATTTGATATGCTATTGGGAGATGATCATTTTGCGCGCCTGCGGTGTCTTGAATGTGAATTGAATCATTGCAAAAAGTTGATTAAGGAACATAGCAATGATCCATCACTTATTGAACGGTGCTTCCACGGGCCGCTTTTCCTCAATGTGTAGATAAATTTTCCGGCAATTTTGTAAAACCTATTTGAGTAGACTACCAAATGTGATCCATCGCGTCATCTTTTTGAAACATTTTAATCCTTCCATGCTGTTGAAGAGCTTGACTTGCGCCCAAAAATTGCGTCAGTAGCCATCTTCAACATCGTTGGTTGCTTGCTTCACAACAAGATACATTGATGAGAAGAACAACAAACGAGGAAAAATTTGTTTAAATACATTCTCACCAAACGTGTAATAACTTCTCCAATTCATTTCCTCATTATGTTTTTGTCATCAGGATGAAGAGAGATGATTCTGTCTATCCAAATTGAACAAAGCACGTTTAACAACATGTTGATCAACTTCATATAATTCACTACATTATGATAATCCCAAAATGACACTAGTAATACATGGAGCTTCATCAACACATACTCAAATTTGCAGATCCCCCAATGCTACTCCTTGATGCGTTGAACAATCAATGGCCAACTAGAAAGTCCATATACACAATTTGCACAATATTGTTGAAATTATTTGTAATAAAACCGCAAGCATTATCTTGACAAAATTTCCAACCATATGATCGGTTATCTCGACTGGTTTAGCGTTATTGGTACGATTGCAATGTTGGATAATTACAGTAGCAGTTTGCCTAAATTGATAGATCTGCTTTTGTATAATCAATAGATAATCAAAATCGTAACGGGTTTTTTGATGAAAATGATATACTTGCCTACTTTCTCGTTGACTTCATTTTTGAACGATTTCATAGCATTTGCCTTCGAGATCAGTTCCACTTCATTGTCGTCCTTATCCAGCTTTGGCCTAAAGAACAAATTGCCAACAAGATCATTGACTATTTTCACATTGGAGATTTTAAAAGTAACAAACTCCAATTCACTTTCCATGTATGAATGTATCTTGCTATTTAGTTTCTCATCAAAATATTTTTTCTCCTCAAGAGACAAATGCTGATAGTCGTTTCCATGTTGCAACTCAAGATGTTTTTTGTATAGCCCGTATCTAAACACAAAGTGAAATATATGAATGTTTTCAGTGCGCTTTTGCTTCATGCTAACGCCTTGCCGACTCTCCCTTCCATTAAACACATAAAATTGACATTAACTATTTCCACCTTCTTGCTGCAAGCAACATTTTTTGCAATTTTCAGACCGTATTGACTTTTATGTACTTTACCAAATGGCATCATTGTTGGGACATGTAACAATTTCACACGCTAATTTTGCAATCGCTCTCCATGCACTTTGTAAAGATTCAATTGCAGCCAAAACAAATCACTATACGGTATACATACTCGGTAAGTTTGGTTCCATTTCATCTATTTCAATACGGAACAATTGTTGGCATTGAATTGTTGAGATTTATATTCCTATAAAATACACTTCAAGATCATTACAAATTAAACAAACATATTCATACATGTAGAAAGATCAGAAACTCAAAGGTACAAGGATTAAAAAACTCAAACACTACATCATCAAAACTCAACAGGAAGGTGGATATTCACCTACAACAGGAAACTATGAACTTGACAGTACATACTTTCCTGTTTTGGAAAATTCAAATTTGGCACTAATAAATAGCTGTTCTGTTTGCGTTCTGCAGGATTTGTGTTGAAAAGGTTTATGGAATATCACTGTATTTGAAACCAACAAGTAAACAAAACACATGTAATATCGAGAGAGGGAGTGAGAGAAACAACTCGAACAGTTGGCAACTGCACACACGTTGCAATATTTCTTGGTGAAAATGAATCTTTTGATTCGAGAATCTTGTTCCTGACAAAAGTTGAGACTTGCTGGCATCAAATGTTGCACGGATGACGTTGACACATCGCACTAATAAATGACACTTTGTAAACTGTACGCACAGAAAGTTTTAAAATTTTACGATATCACCGTTAATTGTGACATTAGCCCAATTTTAATTGTGGCAAAGGTGGCATTTATTTCTAAAATCCCACTTTTAATGAGGTCTCCTTCAAGTGCTTACTTGTAAACAGTGGAAAATTAATCGTGGGATTCCGGCGTGTGTATGCGCCAAATTGAATTCGAGCAAAATGGCTTGATCGATTGTCTCATCCCTTCTATACGAACACATTCACGCCGCCTGCCTTTTTTCACTAATGATCATATCTCGAGGTTATCAGAAACCTTGCATAGACTGTTGAATGTTCAAAACATAAAAATTGCCAAAATCAACGTGATATATTAATGTGTCTTATATGTCTAGAATTTGCCGAAAATAAAACAGAAATACCTATTTAATTATATCTTTTTGTATCCAAGGAGGTGATGAGATATACAAAATTTGCATGTGTCATGAAGTAGGTAGTTAATAGAATACGTAAGATTTTATAGAGTATCAACTTTCATTCTAATTACTGTGTATTTTTAACAGGCTATAGTCACACTTATAGTATGTTAATGTAGTATGACATACTAAAAGCATCACTTATTGTGTACACTACGAATACCATATTAAGTATCAAATATCATCAGTTCACTTGCCTCTAACTCTCACAAGTCTTCAGGATTGTAGTTTGAAACTAAATAGACGATGGATACCCAAATACTATATATCATTGCAACTTATGTATAAACACTACTTGCGTAATCGTCTCTAGATGCGATGGCCAACAGGCGCAAGAGCTGACCCTAAATGTATGAAAACCGAAATAGAAGGCAGAGTAAGCAACCAGGAAGCATGCTGGTCAAAGGTAAACACATGCGTAACTACTATGTCGAGATGACTGCCTTATAACTTTAGGCACATACAGAGCACACAGTCCGTAGCCAGTTTGAATATTCTTTTGAGCGAGACGACCGTCGTTGTCTACCATGACAACATCCGCAAAGGTCAGGACAAAGAGTTATAGGACTGAACCTGAACTTTCGGAATTTGTCAGTTTTTCAAAACTCAACAATTGAGAGTGGCCAATCTTTGACAAAGCCCGGGCTCTCTCGAAATACTATTGTAAACAGAGGAAATTGCCAATAAAAATCGAGGACTTTGTGATTTCTCTCAAAGTTGCTCAAACCAGTCACGCGCCATGTACCTCTCCCACATACTAAATTCGCCACATGAACTCGATTGTACCTATTGCTACGGAGCAATGACAGTTCATTAAACTCCAGTGCTGATGTGTAAACCATAGTTGCTTACCTGATTAGCAGCTATTCAAGTCAAAACTATCGGGGGTATTGAGTCTGTACATACGCACGATCAGGAGAAAACCACAATACAATCCACAGGAAGGACATAGAATCATGCATGGAGAAAGCTTAGATAGTCGTAATCACAAAAGGCAGATTCATTAAGCAAGAACCTTAACAGGAGGAACCCCGACTTACTGAATATCACGTATAGATTTATAGATGACTATAAAAACTGAATAGAACCATTTCTATTTGTACTCAAGAAAGTCTGGAAGAAGAACCGCCTAAGAGGCGTCATTTCAAAGGCTAGTGTTTCCATTACTTGGACGACCATGTTGAAAATCCACTGCAGACAAGAATTTATCAACAGCAAGCAAAAGGCCATCAGAGTTGCTTGACATATTCTCCAACGACACAGACTCAGCTTCCTTGCTTGTAACATGTAGAGCTTGCTGCAAGAAACCAAGAACATGCCTACACATCTCAGTGTAAGGGTCAAGCTGCCTTCTGGAATACACGCTTTTTCAAAAATCTTCATAACCATAGCAAGGTCAACATCCAATCAGTGATAAAAATAACTTCATGTGGTCTTCTGTTCAGAAAAAGAAATCGGGATTGAAACAGAAAAACCAAACAATGTTAGCGTACAATTCGAACCGTGTGTTGTCGACGGGTTTGCATACGAGAAGATTTTTTTGGTAAATCCGCTGGACTCCGTGTGTCCATCCCGACTGACCTGTAAAACTAAGAATTAGCGCTTCGCGATTAATTGTGTCGTATCCTTGTTACGCTGCTCCAAGCAGATGATTAAGATTGAATGAAGCACTTACATGCTCCTTCTCTGCAGATTCCCTTCTTGCACAAAACACGTTGCGCATTTAACTTCCTACAAGTCGTAGACGCACGTCAAAGCCCGATCTTACATCATTATGGACGAAGCATAGCAACTTTTATAGGACATGGAAATTGGTGAGGACTGAACTCCACCTTTTGCATTCTTGCCAGTGCTCGAGCATTTCTCTTCAAAACTGTGAACTGAAAGTCATAGATGAAAACTCAGTGGAGTACCAACCTTTCATGAACTCCATCACGTTTGTTAGCATCTGCAGCTATCGAACAGTATCCGTATGCAAGGATAATTGAGCGTGAGGTACCTGCTGTTGAGCTTCAAGCAGCTGGTGCTCTAAGTCATACAACTGCTGTCGCGCACTTCCAGGCATCGCATGTAACAAGTAGCTTCAGCATACGCACCATATATGAATATGCAAAAATTCTCTTGGAACAGTGAAGAGCACTGCAACGAGGATAAAAGCAAACAATGGAATTTGTAGATTCGACAAGCACTGACTTGTGTTGGAGATGATACGCAATTTCTGAGGTCCAGCCACCAGCGACTGAAACAAGTAGGCCCATTCACTTCTGGCACAATTATCAGATCAAAGAGAAGATGGAGACCTCAAAAGTTCTTGAAGTTTGAAACCGTAGGAGATTCAGGAATGTTAATGGAGAAAACGGCTCGACGAAGATCGTGCCGTTTTTTCCATTTCGATCTTCGAGACGAAAGCCATGCAAAACGGTTGATAGTAAGTTATGTGGAACATTTCGAACGTTTTATCTTCCTTTACATGAGCCTCTGGAGATAATAATACGATAGTCCTACATAACTGACAGTCAATCCTACTTTGTTGAGATTTCACCGTTATGTTTCGTTACCTCATATGCTCACACCCCTCTTCTTTATTAGTAAATTGATTGCAATTTTGTTTGACCTAGAAGTTTGACAAACCATTATAACCGCAACAATCATCAAGATTTTTCATAACTTGTCATATCATGAGAAGAAAGTAGAAAACTTTAGGGTTTCAGTTCTCTGGCAATATGGATTCATCTGTATCTTGTCTAGATTATTCAAATTTTGGGATTGCCACCATATACATTTTTCACAACTATTCAATTTATTTCTTTTTTTATTTACTCCATTTCATTTCTTCAACCAATTTGTAACAGGAAATCCACAAGAATCTATTAACCACAATCACACAAACAACAACAGCAAGAATCATGTATTATTTCTTGTATCCAAGAATAAATGATTCTTCACTATCAAACTAAGTCCAGGAGAACAACGAGTTCCTTACTGGAAAAGCTTGCAAAGTGTTCGGGGCGAGCCGTGGCTCACCCTAATATTTATGCACTATAGCAGCATCTTAGTAGTAACTCAGGTATCAGGTAAAACTCAAGTTAACCTAACTGGAGTTGGAGTTAGAATTAAGCTTACTCTAGTTAGGATTAAACCTGAAGTTTCTACTTCCATGTATATATAAGGGGGCGAGACACAACTCGCCTTGAACACATTTAAAATTTCTTGGTAAAGATCTCATTGTTCCTGTATACTAGTAGCTTGAGAGTAGTGAATCACTTGTTTTTTTTTGGTGGCGGCATATTTGCGTGACCTTTTCGCATTCTTATTTGTGAAAATATGGACTCTTTTGTTTCTTGTTACAATTAGTATCAAAGCAAGTTGTAGATCAAACAAACGGGCTCGGGAGCTTCTCACCTTGGGTTGGAGAAGTGTTATCTTAACCTTCTTCTCCTCATTGAAAAGACAAGCATCTTGTAGTATCAACGCAACAAGAATCACACACCTATGTATATGGTTCAACTCCACATGAACCTACATACACGGCAGAGATAAAAAATTATACTAAAGCATGAATATTACATCAACCTTTCATAGCCAAACTCTCAAGTATCTCTCTCTCCATCATGTGTACATGTGAAATCAAAAAAAAGTGTGCTCATCCTAGGGCTAAGTTTTCAAACTACAAATCCGAAACAAACCAGAACCTTAAGTAGAGGCCAAACCTAACTACGGTTAGACTAATTACAGTTAACAAGATGCGGCTTAACCTTACATACCCCCCCTTAACAAAATCTTGGAGAAAGCAATTTCTACTATCCATATATGGTTTCAGCAAAAAGTTCTAGAAGGTAAAACTAAACCATAGCTTTTTCCCTATGAACAAGAATAAATTAGGATTCACCAGAGCTAACAACATGTTAAAGAGATACTTCATACATGGTAACTATCATGTATCTAATTCATTGATGCAAAATCTGCAAAGTTGCATGGTGTCTTGTAAACTTATCAAAAAAATTACTTTTATAAAGACATTATCCAACTTAAGCTCTTCATCAATCTTGATGAGCTTAAGCGCATATTCAAACACATAAAATGGTATTTGATGTCAATGTGCTTCATACTACTATCTTTCACCTGATTTTCAGCAAGATGAATTGCGTTTTGATTATCACAATGAAGATTGTCGTCCTACACCAGCAATCCCATCTCAACAATAAGCTTGTTGAATCAAATTGCTTTATTCGTTGACTTTGTTACTGCAACATATTCAACTTCTGTGGATGACAAAAAGATGCATTTTTTAGGAGTAAATCTTTAACTAATGTAGCCATTTATAAGAGTGAAAGCATGTTCAGTTGTTGATTTTCTCTTGTCCAAGTATACTCTATAATCATCATCCACATACCTTAAAAATGACTTGATATTCATTTCTTTGGCATCAAGCAATAAATAATGTGAAGCCCTTAAAATACCTAAGTATTCACTTTACTACTTTGCAATGCATCTTTTCTAAATTTGACATGTACATGTTCACCTTACCTACAACAAATGCTAAATTTGGTTATGTGCAAACCATCAACAACATAAAACTACCCACTACACCTTTCATGGAAAATTTTCAACTTATCAACATCAGATTTTTTGGGAGCTACAATAAGAATGTCATCAACATACAAAACAAGAATGATAAATCCAAGTATCGTGTCAAAAATTTTCTTCAAGTAAACACAAGAATCATATACACTCCAAACAAATATTTGTGAATGCATGAAATCATGAAAGCATTTGTTTAAATGTTTTAGACTTTGCTTTAAACCGTATAACAATTGAACAACTTGCATATCATGACTTTCTATCTTTTCATGACAAAAACTTAGTTATTGCGGTATGAATATCACCTCATCAAGAAGTCTAAAGAGAAAATTTTTGACAACATCCATATAATCAAACACCAGATCATATTAAAACACAAGAGCACAAAGCAAATGTATTGTAGAATAATTTGCTGCTAGATCATATTAAATCACAAGAGCACATAACAAACGTATTGTAAAATAATTTGATACCAGTGCAAAAACTTCATTATAATTCACACCTCTGCGTTCTGTGATTTCCTTGGCTACCAACCTAGCATTGAAAATTTTTCTCATCTGTTTCCATGAATTTTTGCTTCTCAATAAAAGCTAAAACTTTGGAAAAGAAAGATAGTTTTTCATTTTTTGTGATCAAAATGTCACCTGAATCCTCAACATCAGCTTCAATATCATCGATGATTGAAAAATCAAACGAAATGTTATACCTAGCAAGAGATTGACGTATAGTTGCACTTTGCAACAAGCCGCCTTAATGAAAATTCTGCTTGATCAATTCTTAGAGGGGAGAAAACTTGAAAGGACCTACCTATCTTAACAAATACAACAATTTTTAACTTGAAGTATGCTGCAACAATTGCTATGACATTGCAAAATGCTTTACAAGCTGCAATCCAAGCACACAATGCCATGAAGAACAATCATCATCCCAAATACATCATTGTAACCTTCCTCCAAAACAATTAGTCACCATCACGGCTCAGGTATCCCCTCTCATTCAAGTGCCATTTACGGAAGATCTAATGGATGAGTTTTACAAGATTCTTGAGCTAAATTTCTTGCTCTAGAGTTTTAAATTTTTTAACAATTGGCAACCTTCATCCGGCAAAAGGAGAAAACCCTCAAAATGCTCAAAAGACGGCTCCTCAAGCTGAGGGTGGACACATAGAGCATTATGATCAAGAGATTGTTCACCAATACTTGAGTGCACTAGAAGTGACGTCTGATGTTCATGCTCAAACCTACAACAAGTCTTTGCCAAGTTTGGAGATTCATTTATCTTGCTAGATGTGTACATGTGGTAACGTAGTTTTTCATTTTCTTTCAAAAAGAGTAAGTTTGAGGAGTAGAGGAATATAAATGTATAATTTTAGGATAAAAATAATTAGAAGTAGATTAAATTATGTAGCAGATGACAAGTTAGAATTAGTTGAAATCCATGTTAGATATTTCTATGTTGGAGTTAGTGTTTTACTTGCAGTCCATAAAGTTAGATTCGATGGATTATGATTTAATAGAGTGAATACCTCATAACTTTTTAAATTAGTTGTGACTTGACTTAAGAAGGATCTTGATAGATAGAGCTCAGCATTCTTGTTCTAACGCGCCCAAGAACTCTGAAAACGTGAAGGAATCCACAAGTTATGGATGTTAGAAGTAGTTGGTATGGATAGGAGAAGGCAAAGAAGGGCCTTGGACTTTCACACCTTCGGCTTTGAAAAAGAAGGGCCTTCGGGTTGAGATTTGCACTGTGAAGAAGTAGAAAAAAGTACTTTGAGACGGATTGAAGTAGTCTTGTGCTGCACTTGAGAGGTTAATTTCATCGCGTGGAGGAGCTAATAGCGAATCTGGCGGCACGGGATTGATCTGAAGCTGCTGAATTAGCTCCTTGGACGCAGAAATTGGCTGATTGCGAAGCTGCACGAACTTTGGAATTAGAGCGTGAAAAGGAGTTTGACGCGGATTGCAGCAAATTGCGAGGAGTAGTTGAGCAGCAGTTAAGGAGTACTTGGTCGTGGCTCGAACAAAATTGGTGGAGATAGAGGCGACTATCCAATAGCTGGAACAACAAACGGATGCTGGTTTGCGTGCAAGCGTTGAGCAATGTCTTCGCGGTTACGTGAATCGGAAGATTCAAACCACAAAGTGGACAAAATTGGATTTGTTGGAGTGTCGATTGAAGGTATTGGGAGCCAACGGAGTTGTAGGAGATAGACAGTTAGGTAAAATGGTCAATTCTTTCATCTCCGGTTTAGAGGAGATGAAAGAAAATTTAGAGTTAGAGCTTTTAGCAGTTTTGAGTAGGATAGGAGTAGATGAGAGCTCTTTGGGTGTGGCAACTACCGCATTAGCAAAGGTCGCAGCTGATGGGAGCTTGCAGTTAGCATGTGATGCTTCCGGGTGTTTGTTGTGAATAAAGAGGCCCAAGGCTATGCCTTGGGGGGGAGGGGGGGGGGGGGGGGGGGGGCTTTTCCATGAGTCAGTTTTCAGTCTGCATTCCTTCGCATGTTTGTGAGTTGTGCGTTTTGTCACAGTGCGCGAGTTGCTTCAATTTGTCAAGGATATTGCATTTGAAGTAGAGTCAAATTTGGATGTTTAGAGTGATGCATAGTGTAGCTCAGGATTTAAACAAATTTGTACATTGGAAGCTCGGTGCAGCCGGCTGAGTGTGTAATCTTGGGAAGTCTCTACCCTAAATATCAATTGCAGAGTCACTTGCAATTTCTGTGAGATCTATTAAATGAATTTCAGGATTTGGATGTGATTTCACCCTGCATTTGTGTCGACTTTGGCCTTAGCAATTGCAGATGCTTTTGGGAGTGACATGTGCCTTAGAAGTAAAACTCT